CCCCCCGGGCTTGGGGGAACAAACCTTCCATGAGAAGTTTGGAGCCCACGATGGGGCAAGAGCCACCTGCAGCCGCTTGCGGCTCAGCCTTGGTGTTGCTGCCATGGGAGGAAAGGGAAAAGGGAAACCTGCTCTGTTTTGGTCTCCTCCTTGAGCTGGAGCTTTGTTTGGAGGCACTGGGGGCAGAGGGGCTGTGGGGCCATGGGGCTGGGGAGGCACTGGGGGCAGAGGGGCCATGGGACACTGGTGCTCAGGGTGATGATGGGGACGGAGGGGCTGTTGGGCATCAGGGCTGGGGGTGGCAGGTCGGGCCGGTCGCCAGCGTCAGCTGCATCGCAGGCGGGACCCGGAGGTTTTTGGTGGTTTCTAACGACCAAATTTGGACAGATTTTCAGGGGGCTTGCAAAAAGCGATTCCCTCATCCCAGGCTGCTTCCCTTGCCAAATCTCAGAGACTGCTGCAAGCTGCTGAGCTCTGTCAAAGATTTCATATCTGCATAGAGCAAAATGATACCAACGTGGGGCTGGTGCAGCCCCTGCTCACAGTAAATGTGACCTCGAACGCTGTGACTCTGGGACAGGCTACAGACAGAGCCGTATTAATAGAGTTTGTAATTAGAACAGTAATTGCACAGTGCCTAATTTCTTTCCTAGAGAGAACTTTGAGCAGTGACCAGAAGGTGGGTTTGAGGAGGGCGAGCGATGCCCCTGGGCAGGGCGTTACCTGGGGGACGGGACGGGCTGCGAGTGGCAGGGGGCCACAGGAGCCAGCACAGATCCATGGACAGGCAGGGGAGAGAGCACCAGGAAGGTGGAATAGGGAAAGAGCATCATGGTGCAGGGCTGAGAGGATGGTTACACAGAGGTCTTCTGGATGCATGAAGCGGTGAAGGAAGGAGGGAGAGGTGGAAGGGAGATGAGGAGAAGTAGGTGAGATTCCTTTAACAGAGCTTTTGCCACATGACAGGAATTGTTTCCTGACCTTCATGGTCGTGCACATGCCTTGCAGCCCACCTAAAGCTCAGCTCCCTTGGGAGAGCTTGGAGAGGGCTTGAGCTGTGGTGAGGACTCGGTAGCCAGGGAGCAGGAATCTCTGTAGTCACAGTTTTACCCAGAGCATGTGCTTTTCCCTTCATTGTCCTTCCATAATCCTCCCACACGCCTCCAAAGCTGTGTGGGTTCCTTTCTGCAGTTGAAGAAGTGGGGTTACTTTAGGAAAGCTTTCCTCTACAGTTTCCAGCTGTTGCTGCTCTGGCAGAGGCTGGGGATGAGGGAAGGCCTGGAGAATGTCTGTGATAGCTGGGAGCAGCCTGGCTATCCCAGAACTCCACATCTACTCTGCTGGG